TGAATTTGCTTACATTCAAACATATATCCTCATATTTTGATTTAAAAGAAGAAATATCTTTATCTAAACTATTAATACGAATTTTTAACTCATTACATTCTGATTTTAAATAAATTTTTTCTTTAGATAAACTTTTATTTTCTTTAAGCAAAAGAATAATTTTCTTCTTTCAATTCAATTACTTGAAAATTAGAATTAGTAGAGGAATTTAAATCAAAAATTTCTTCAAGTAATCTTTTATTTTCACCTTTAAGAAAATTATGTGAAGTTTTTAATCTCACAAATGTTTCATATAATTCATTGAAAGCATCTAAAAGTTCTTCATTGTCACTTCATCTTGTGCCATAAAACACATGTGAGCACTTTCCTTTTCTTCAATTTCTTCATCTGAAGATGACTACTTTCCTTTTCTTCAATTTCTTCATCTGAAGATGACTCATCACTATCATCCCAAGTGACTGCCATTGCTTTCGATGACTCATCACTATCATCCCAAGTGACTGCCATTGCTTTCCTTTTCTTGTTATTTTGAATGTTGTTGCAGTTGTTAAAATAACTTGATTTTTGCTTATTCTTCAACATTGGACAATCTTCATTCATATGACCTGGTTTATTACACTTAAAACAAAGAGGGTTATCAGAAATTAAACTCTTAGATTTAAAATTACCTCGTTTTATAAATTTTCAAAATTTTTAGGCAAACATGCTCATTTCTTCATCATCATCATCTGAATCTTCTTTATCAGAAATAGTATTGAATGCAAGTACTTTTTTGTTCTTTCTTCATCATTCATTCTATCTTCAATTTGAACTTTATATGCCATTAGATTTTCGATAAGATTTTCAACCGTAAGAGTTGACAAAATCATTGGCTTCTTCGATTGCGGTAACTTTCTTTTCCCATTGTGGTGTAAGTGATCGAAGTATATTTCTTATCATCTCCACTTGTGTATATGTTTTTTCAAGACCAATGAGAGAATTTGTGATGTCGGTGAATCTTGTGAACATTTCTCCAATAGTCTTATTTTCCTTCATCTTGAACAATTCAAATCTGTGCACAAGAACAGAAATTTTAGATTCTTTAACTTTATTTGTACCTTCATAAGTTACCTCAAGTGTATGCCAAATATCGTATGCACATGTGGCCGTTGACACCCTATTGAACTCATTCTTGTCAAGTGCACAAAATAATGCATTCATTGCTTTTGAATCTAAATTTGCATTATTTCTTTGTGAAGTAGTCCATTCCGTAAATGGAGTTGTTGGCTTCTCATATTTCGTTTCCACAACGTTTCAAAGTTCGTAGCCAATTGATTGAAGGTAAATCTTCATTCGGCACTTCCAATAGTTGTAGTTCAATCCATCGAACATTGGTGGACGATACTGTTTTAAAAAACCTCCGTCTAGTCCGCTTAGGCGTACGCCTAGACCTAGGTGGTATCTAGGCCGCCTAACTAGCGTCTAACGCCTAGGCAGTATTTAGGCTGTCCACCTAGATTTTACGAGCGTTTAGGGGAGTATTGTCTGCATACGTGGATTGCACCCTGTAGGCATTGATTGTGATTTTACGTGTCGTAGCCTACACGTGTTCCAAACTCCATTAACCTTCAAATATAAACACTTCCACTACCTCCGACCTTCAGCAAAACCTCATCGATCATCACTTAAATGAAGAAAAAAAAAACGCCCAGAAATCGTTTAGACGTCCGCCTAGGCGACTAAGCGCTGGGCGTCAAGTCCGACGCTTAGAAGCGCCCAACGTGTAATGTAACATTGGTGGACGATTTGTAGAGTGACCTTCTTTGAATTGTGAAGTATTTGTCGATGCCATCTTTCACCTTGCTCTGATACCAAATATAGGATCTGAAATAGATACACTAGAACACTAGAGGGGGGGTGAATAGTGTTCTATAAAAAATTATGCAAAGTATATTATAAATTGCAAAAAAATGGCAATCTCAAAAATTCACAATCACAAACACAAAATTTTATACTGATTCCACCAATCCGGTGTACATCCAGTTCCCAAGCAAATCCCGCTTGAGAGTTTCCACTATGATTTTGAATTTCCACCAATCCGGTGTACATCCAGTTCCCAAGCAAATCCCGCTTGAGAGTTTCCACTATGATTTTGAATAAACTTACAAAATCAAAAGCAAACCTGACCAATTTGTAAGTCCCTACAAATTGCAACACCAATTGACAAACACATTGTCAATTTGCACACCAATATCTAAATCAAGAGATTAACACCTCTCACAACTCGAGAGAACTTTTGAAGCAACAATTTCAATTGCTATAAGCCTTGATTTGTAGTGTAGTGTAGTAGTGGCTTAGGAATGATTCTAACTTCTGTAAATTGCCTAAACAATAAGTATTTGAATGATGTTCAAAGGCAATTTCAGAAACTTTTCTTTTTCTCAAAATCTGAATATTTTTCACTTGAAAAAATGCACAAAGATCAAAGCTTATGGGTATGTAAGTCTCTGCATTTTTTCTGAACAAATAACCTATTTATAGCCCTTGAAAAGATAAGTTTTTGAACTTTAAAAACGTTTAAAAACGGCTATAAACAGTCATATATTCAAACTTTAAATTCTGAAAAAACTGTATCTGTAGTCGACTACAAGAATGATTAGTCGACTACACTGAGTTTAAACAGACTCTGTATATTCAGAAAATTTCTCAGTAGTCGACTATAAAGTTCATTAGTCGACTATACTGTAATTTGACAGAAACTTAGAAAATGAATTTTGCCTTCAGTAGTCGACTATAATGTCAATTAGTCGACTATACTGTAAAAAAAACAGAAATGTCAATTAGTCGATTATACTGTAAAATAACAGAAACTTATGTTTCTGTCATAAACTTGAGTAGTCGATTATTATCCAAATTAGTCGACTATACTGTAAATTGACAGAATCTTATATTTAAGACATATACATGAGTAGTCGATTACTATTCTAATTAGTCGACTACTAAGAGTTAGAAAATTATATGAATTAAATGTTTTGATACTCCATTATTAACTATAACTCTAATGGTTAACATAGGGGATTTCTATAGTTAACCAACACACTAAGCCTGTGTTAGTGTGTTCTAATATTTTGTGTGTGCGTGTGTGTGATCAAGGCTTGTACAATAATTCTAAGTAAAGAAAATGTAAAATACATTATCTCATATGTTCTTCATCTTCTTCACTTCATAATGCCTTGAATCTCAACTTGCACTTGTTCATATTTTGATATTGAAAGCTGCATATAAGAGTTAGTGTATTTGTATAACACACATTGTATAAATTGTTATCATCAAAATAATATCATGGAGATATGATATTCAACAATATAAAGGATGAGGAATATTATTTTCAGAAAGGTTTAATCCTTTTATTTCATTAGTTCTATAAGAACTAGATCTGGAGATTGAATTTCTAGCCGAATTGGCCACATCAGATATTCTGATGGTTCGTGAAGGATTGAAAGTTATTTCTACATCTCATGGTTTCTCCATTTTTTTTTCTCTCTCTCTCTCTCTCTATATATATATATATATATATATATGTGTGTGTGTGTGTGTATACGTACATATATATATATGTGTGTGTGTATAGTTGCTAATTAATGGTTTATTTCCTGCAATGCATTATGTGAATCCGAATCGTGAGGTATTTTCTTCTTTTTTCTTGGCCACTTTCCTTGTGATAAGTTTGCCACTTGTTATTTAACATGTCATGCTTTCATGTGATTCAGTATTTTCAACTGAGAGGAGAGAAGATACCTGGACTTCAGCATTTATAGATCTACATATTTAGCTCCCAAGATCAAGTGGGTGTAACACTTTTTATATGCTACAACCATCCTAGATCTACTAGTTTGCAAGAACATTTCCTAATAACTGGATAGCTAGTCCAACCCAGGCGGTCATATGCCATGTGGCCTAATTTGCTACAAGGTGCACGTTGTGATGTTTTTAAAAATTTAAATGCATATGGTTTTCATAATGTAGAGCTCTCATTCGCGCCCACGTCTTATACAACCATCCTAGATCAACTAGTTTGCAAGAACATTTCCTAATAACTGGATAGCTAGTCCAACCCAGGCGGTCATATGCCATGTGGACTAATTTGCTACAAGGCGCACATTGTGATGTTTTTTAAAATTTAAATGCATATGGTTTTCATAATATAGAGTTCTCATTCGCGCCCACATCTTATAATTGTATTGTCCCATTTTTTAAGCTTTCCACATACTCAGAGATATCCACTTATTCATGTGTTGTTACATGTTTCTCTATTTTCGTTGGGACATACAGCTATTTGCTGTAAATTATGACGTTAAATCTGCCCTTGAAATGTTAATCTATTGGTTTTTTGGTTGACAAGGTTGCTTAATTGTTGTTATGTATAGGAATTTAGTCACAACCCCAGGTTAACCTACTAATTAAGGCAATTGTCTGCAGTATTACTTATTATTTTTAAGATCTGGAATTGAGATTATCCATTAGAGTGCACTTTTAAATTAGGTATCATCATCAATCAGAATTGGTTACATATTGATGGTATCTTTGTTGGTAGGCTTAATTGGCCAGTAAAATGTCCTTTTCATAAGTAGTAGGCCTACAAAAAGGAATTTAATGTAGGATAATACAGACTTCCTTGTATTATGTTGAAACAGAATATGACTTATGAATTGTAATTTTTTGTTGAACCTAAATAACTCTTTTTCATCAAGTTAGAAAGATATTGAAGCACGTCCTCTATAGGTAATCACTCATAGCTTCAATAAAGTGAGATGTATGTTGATAAGTTAAATGCAATTGATGCGTCTTGAAAGGACATGTGAATGGTATGAATAACGATTCTTTCGAGGTTCATAGGATCCAAAATATTAATCAGCAGTTACTATGGTTAAAAGTTCATAAGTTCAATCCGGACTCCGGAGATTCTATGTGATGTCATAGCTGCTTGGAAGTGTCTTACAGGGTTGTGTTTTTCTTCCCAGGTCATTCTTATAAGCAAGGCGAGAAGGTAGATAGTTCCATATTTGAGAAGGATCCGGGTCTGCGTCCAGAGTCCAATGCAGCTGAGGTGACGACCAAGATGGAAAAGCCAAATACTGTTTATCGGTGCAAGAAATGTCGAAGAATTGTTGCCATGCCAGAAAATGTTGTTAGCCACACGGCAGGTGAGGGAGAGTCATCCTTTGGATGGCAGAAGAGGAAGAGTGGAAACCCATATAACCGATATGGGGAGGTGGAGTGTACTTCTATGTTTGTTGAGCCTCTTAAGTGGATGACTACTGGTATAATCTCATTTAACCTTTACTCAAGTAGCTCCATGTGGTTTCAGATCAGATTTTATCCTTGCTTAGCATATCCTGAAACTTGCATTATAATTCATGTATTA